GCCTCGGGTTACCTGACGCAACTCTACGTTCGGTATTGCTTAAAAATGCGACACCTGACAGCCTAATTTACCCGTAATGACCCGACGGCAGCCCATACACTTTAGCACATTTTTTAAAATATTTCGGGTCGGCCTGTTGCATTGTATATGAATTGGGCGGGAAAACAAAAAAAGTACGTGGCTTTTACCTCATGTATAATAACCTTTTTGGTATTAAACCTAAGATGTTATACACTCTTTAGGGTTCATATAATTCTCATATACATCACGTAAAGATATCGTGAAGTGTTTGAGGAGATGGAAGGATCGAATGTAGGTTTTTCTTTGGACAACTTCGTTGATATCAAGAAAACTCCAACGTTAAACTTTGATCAAGCATTTTCTGATTTAATACAAGTAAGTCATTATCTGTACTGTTTGGATTTTTTTTTCTATTTACTGTTTCATTACTGTATCAACGTAAAATCATAAAAATCCATTAGATTTACTCGGTACAGTGTTTGACTTACCTCGATACTGATCGGTACTAGATAGTGAAACTCGGTTTGAATTATTTGCACACAAGTTTCGAGAAATTAAACATTGGTTGTAGTAGTACCGATCATTACAGTTGTTAAGTATCGCTCAGTATATGATAGTACTGATCATTACATGGAACCGATCATTTTATTACCTCGGTATAAGCTCGATATTGATTATTATAGCTCGGTATAAGATCAGTACTGATTTTAATAGCTCGATATAAACTCAGTGCACATTTGTACCGAGCTAATAAATATTAGTAAGTCGTAGTGTACATTTGTACCGACCTAATAATTATTAGCTCGGTATAAGCTCGGTATAAGGTCGGTATTGACATTTAGTTATAAAGCTAAATTGGATGTATGAATATTTCATAAGGTGTTTACAATTCTGAGAAGGAAGCATATGAAAAATATTGCCAGTATGCGCATTCAACTAGATTAAGTGTTCGGAAAGATCATCACCATTTCTGGCTAAATTCAAGGAAAATCAAATCAAAGCATTTTGTGTGTTTTAAAGCTGGTTTCAAGAAGGAGACTGAGAGTGGTACAAAGGTAAAATATCGAAGATCATGTACAAGAATAGGATGTCCAGCCATAGTTAGATTTTATGTGAGTCAAGATGGGGTTTGGGAAGTGAATAAAGCTATAGAGAGTCATAATCACGAACTGGCTAGGCTGGATGATCAACATTTGCTCAGGTCATCTAGGAGCATTAGTGATGAGAATGCAGCTGTTTTGAAATCTATGTCAGAAGCAGGGATAAGAACTGTCGATGCATTTACATACCTATCTAATGAAGTTAGAGGTGTGGGTAATCTGGGTTTCACGAAGCGGGATGCATATAACTACATCCAAAAAGAAAGATGAGCTAAGATTGAGACTGAAGACACTAATTTGCTAATCAAGTTATTTAAAGAACAGACAATTGATGACAACATGTTTGCATGGGATGTCGAAATTGATGAAGATGGTTGTTTGTTGAATTTCTTTTGGGTTGATGGTCTTGGCAGAATTGATTATGATTATTTTGGGGACGTGATTATATTCGATACAAGTTATCATTTAAATAAATATAACTTAGCTTGTGCCCCAATTATTGGAGTGAATAATCATTGGCAAAATATTCTATTATGAGTTGCTTTTTTATCTGATGAGACTATTGATTCTTTTACCTAGTTTTTTAGAACATTTCTAAACATTATTGATAACAAACATCCCATTATTATTTTTACTGATCAGGACCAAGCCATTGCCAGGGCAATAGAGATTGCATTGCCTAATACACGGCATCGATTGTGCCAATGGCATCTATACAAGAAGGCACCTTCAAAGGTATGGTGCTTTAACAGCAACAACAGAGTTAAATTCTTATTTTTTTTATTATTTCAAGCAATATGATTCTGTGGAGGAATTTGAGAGAAAATGAACTTAAATGATCTCAGAAGGAAACCTGCAATGCCATCAATGGTTGAATGATCTCTACAAAATCAGGGAGAAGTGGTCAGCTGCATTCAACAAAGATTATTTTAACCTTGATATTTTATTAACCCAACGTAGTGAGTTAACCAATCATGTATGAATGGTTATTCCAAGCCAACAAGTACTATCACTGAGTGTTTTCTTGGTTTGGAAAGGGTGATGAGAACTTGGCATCAAAATGAACAAGATGAAGAATTCAAATGTAGTCAAACAGATATAGAGCCATATATGAAAAGTAGCCCGATATTGAAGCAAGCTGCAAAATTTTATTCAAGAAAGTTGTATTCATTTTTTGAAGAGGAGTTCTTACATGGACTTGGTGGATTAAACATTGAACATTTCTCATCGGATTTATTAAGGTTTTCTGTAACGAACATAGACAACTCCACTGATTCACATAATTGGATTGCCAATTTTAATTCATTAGAATGTACCATTAAATACAACTGTGCAAAGTTTCAAATGAAGGGTATATTGTGTTATCATTACATGAGTGTTATGAGACAGTTAGACATTATTAATATTCCCATTAAATATTTAATTCCAAGGAGGTATGTCAATGCTCGAAAAGATTTATATTCTGGTGGAAAAATCCCATATATCGGCATCAATGCTTGCCAACCTATTGAGGGGTCCACCAACTTGATGTTCAGAAATTATATATGTCGGTTTGCATATAAAATTAGCACAAAAGCACAAGGTAATGAGGAGGATGAATTGTGTGTGATAGATGGTTTGAGAACATTGGATGAAAAAGTGCATTCCATCAAGCTTGGCAGAAAGAACAAACAAATTTGTTGAGCAGGTAATGAAACTATTAAAGATCCCAAGAAGTGCAGGCCAAAGGGCATATGAAATGCTAGATTGAAGGATCACTGGGAGAAAAGGAAGACAAAAAAATAAAAAACAAACAGCGAGGAATCCTCCAACAATCATACACTTTACAATTCCAGATTCAGGTAGTCAATCGTCATTCATGTAATATGTGAATTTGGAGATATTTCTATTATGAATATGACATTCTGATTGTATATGTGAATTTGGAGATATTTCTATTCTGAATATGACATTCTGATTGTATATGAGATACTTTGAAAATTTCGTGGAATACCGAGCAAATTTCGATTGGTATTCTATTTGTACCGAGCAAATTATGTGGAATACCGAAAAATATCGATCTGTTTTCATATTGCTCGGTATTAGTTTAATACTCAATACTTGAATACATAAGTCGGTATTGCTTGGTACTTTCTGTGTAGTGAGCTACATTAATACAGTACCGAGTAAATTTCAACTAATACCGAGCAATACTGATCTGTTTTCATATTGCTCAGTATTAGTTTATGATTAGGGGCCATTGCTCAGTATCAATCCTTTTTAGTACTCGGTACCATTTAGTTGAAATAAAAAATGCACAAGACATATAAAAAAAGTTCACCATTTATTTAATAATCTATTGAATTTTAGTACATAACAAGGCATATGCTAATTCAGCCATGAATAGTGGCATATTAGATTGCCAGTTTTTATAATGATACCATTGAACAGGTTCTTGTTGTATTACAACTTTCATATATTTACAAAGAAACATGCCGCAATCAACGTTGTTATCTTGTGTTGGCACGTTTCTGAATCCCTTGATTGGCCATTTGTTATATTAATGTCAAAAGCATTCTTTGTATCCTTGTAGAAATGTGAAATCTATAAAATTAAAATAAAATTAACATAAAATAATGTTAAGACTGAAATTAAACAAAAAAATTACTTACAACTTCTGGGAGTATGGCTTTGTGTGTCTTATTCGGTAAAGAATCATAGAACTCCCACCATTTTGTTCTCAAATTGCATACAAGAAGTGTCCAATGTTTAATGTTTATTATAGGAACGAAGATCAAATTTACATTCTTAATAACAGTTTTGTTTATATGAGATACAAAGCTTGTTGTGTTCGTCTCATTTGATTGACTGTAGTAGGCCTGCTTAAGAAGAAATAGTTGTGGTGATTAATTCCAACATATTTAAATCTAATAAATAGAATTAGCAAATGCAAGGATTAAAAAATGTTTACTAACCCAATGGAAACTTGAAAAAAAAAGAAACAGTTAATTAAGACCGGGGCAAAGTACATTCTTCTGGATTAATAAATGACCAAATGCATCAACGTGATTATTATCAAGCTCCTTTGACATTAATAACTCGTCCAATTAGCTTCTATAAATTATTATATTTCCAAACTCGAAAATAGTATCATTCTTGGATAATTCAAAAAAACATTCATTACAAAAGATGAATAAAAAATAAATAGATAATCGTAATGCTCGGTACTACTCGGTATTGATATGGTACCGAGCCTATTTAATATAATACCGAGTAGTACCGGTCAGTAATGCTCGGTACTACTCGGTATTGATATAGTACCGAGCATATTTAATATAATACCGAGTATTACCGGTCATTAAAGCTCGGTACTACTCGGTATTGATATAGTACCGAGTCTATTTAATATAATACAAAATAGTATCGGTCAGTAAAGCTCGGTACTACTCGGTTTTGATATAGTACCGAGCCTATTTAATATAATATCGAGTAGTACCAGTCAGTAAAGCTCGGTACTACTCGGTATTGATAAAGTACCGAGTCTATTTAATATAATACTGAGTAGTACTGGTCAGTAAAGCTCGGTACTACTCGGTATTGATATAGTACCGTATAATACCAAGCAATACCGATCAGTAAAGCACGGTACTACTCGGTATTTATATAATACCGAGTAGTACTGGTCAGTAAAACTCAGTACTACTCGATATTGATATAGTATCGAGCCTATTTAATATAATACTAAGTAGTACCGATCAGTAAAGCTCGGTACTACTCGGTATTGATGTAGTACCGAGTATACTTAATATAATACCGAGTTGTAAAGATCAGTAAAGCTCGGTACTACTTGGTATTGATATAATTTGGTCAGTATAAGTTCAATACTCACTTATCCTTGAATTATTTCAGGCCATTATTGATGAATAGGATTTTATCTTCACTAATTAATGATCGGCCTGGATAATCTAGTATTTCAGATGCAGGTCTCAATTCTATTTCTTTAGAGTCATCAACTTCATAAACAATCATAGCTTTATCAGTTACAGGAGCATTTTTAGGCTCTGGTTCAGTTGTAGGAGGTGGTGCAGGTGTACGAGGTGGTGCAGCTGTAGGAGCTGTTTCAGGAGCTAATGCAAGTTCACTTGGAGAAGTTGGAGCAGGTGCAGTTGGAGAAGGTGGTGCAGCAGCTGGTGTAGGAGCTAGAGCAAGTTCAGGTGCTATTGCAGGAGTATCACTTGAAATTGAGTCACCCAACTTCTCTTTGGATGCCAAATTTTTTAAAATTTTCTTCTTCCTATCACCCATTGTAAAATGTGTGGATATAACTTTTCTCTTTCTATCATTTCTTTTTTGAACTCTTTTTGCAATGCCGGTTAGTAAGGATGGATCAACCTCATCCTCACTCAGGGTAGCATCCTTTTCAGATATAGTAGCAGATGAGAAAGAACCAGTAGCCATTTCTTTCTTGTAAGTTTTAAAATAATCAGGAAATTGATCTTGGAAGAACTGCAATATAAAGCCATCTTTCTTTTTAATCTGCTCTTTCAAATAAAAAATCTCCTCTTTCAAATCAAAAACAGATTGTTCCAAATTTACTATCTGCTCTTTAAGTATTCTATTGGTTGCTTCCACCTCTGCTACATTCTTCTTCATAAATTTGTCCTTCGTAAGCAGCTTGTATATTGCTTGATTTAATATCCTCAGGTTTATTTCATCATTTAGTGGACTTGATTCATGATGTGTAGATGAATAAGGATCAGTTGGTCTTGCTACCCGTACTGGAATATGTTTTGGTGGGCTTGCCTCCCTTATCGGACTGGGTACCCTAATAGGACTACTAGGAGTACGTGGAGATGAATGAGGTTTAGATGGGCTTGCCACCCTTATTGGACTTGGAAACCTCATTGGACTATCAGGAGTAGGTGGAAATGACTCATCTGTAGGTGGGCAAGCTACTTTCCACCCGTATTGGACTGGCTGAAATTGGTGGAGAATGACTATGCAATAAAACCTTCTCATAATCTGTTATTCCCCGAAATTCTTTGAGAAACTGCAGAAAATATAATATTTCATCAAATTTAAACATTTAAACATATAGTTTTACCAGACATTTAAATGAAAAAATGTAGTGATGATACCTCATGATCCACAAGGTCAGCAAAAATACTATTTACATCTTTCTCACTGTAAATAAAGTTAGCATCCCAGCGAGTAAAACGTGGACGGGATAGTTCATCCTGTACAGCATAAATTATTGTATGTTCAAGAAATCAAATCTGTACAAATGAAGACAATTTAACTTTGTTATAGAATTTGTAAATTAATCAAAGATCTATTGAACAAAATAACAATACTCACAATTACAATCATGACAAAACCATTTACATAACCCAGTGCTGATACCTTTTCTTATTTAGTAGCAACAATGTTAAATTCTTGAACTTGGAAACACCTAATTGATTCAGGCCAGTTGTACTTATTAAAACTATCAACATTTTGACAACTTCCAAGATAGATGATGGTACACGAAAGTTTACCATTAGATAAAATATGTTGGATAGTAGGTAAAGGACGAAGCCTTTCACTAGATCTTCCATTGGAGTTGTATTATCCATCCTCTCAATGTCATGGCGAATATTATTTGAAGTTTTTCCGCTGGATCTGGCACTGCCAACGTCAAAAATAATACCCCTTTTTGGCATACCTATAAGTAATGCAACTTCATCAGATGTGAACTTCAGACTTTATCATTTAATAATGAAACTTTCAGTCTTCATATCCCACTTCGACACAGCATATATATAAGTGGAACCCTGAGGCATTAGGGGTAACCTCAGGAATTGGATAATTTGCAGCAGCCTCAGTCTTTCAACAAAGGGATCTCCAAATCTCCGAACAAGTAGATTGCAAACTTCTTTAAAAGTCAAAGTTTGGCATCTAAAATGAATATTTGGAGTATATCCCTACATAACAAATACCGAGTATTAAAGACAATTCATTTAGAGTATTACCGAGCAGTACCGACCAACTTACCCAAGCTAAATTGAGCTAATACCCATCATTAATCTGCCAAAATTGCTCAGTACCGAGCAATACCGAGTGTATATAACTCGATAATATATCAATAAAATATTTATGTTTTATGCTAAGCTTATACCGACCATTAATCACCAATATCGAGCAGTACCAAGTGTTAATAATGCTCGGTAATGCTCGGTACCGAGCATTATGAGTTTTTAGCTAAGCTTATACTAACCATGAATCGCCAATACCGAGCAGTACTGAGTGTTAGTAATGCTCGGTACTGCTCGGTATTGGTGATTAATGGTCGGTATAAGCTTAGCATAAAACATAAATATTTTATTGATATATTACCGAGTTATATACACTCGATATTGCTCGGTACTGAGCAATTTTGGCAGATTAATGATGGGTATTAGCTCAATTAAGCTTGGGTAAGTTGGTCGGTACTGCTTGGTACCGAGTAGTACCGAGTGTTAGAAAGGCTCATATTGCTTGGTACCGAGTAGTACCGAGAAGTACGAGTGTTTATAACTGCTGGTACTGCTCGGTACCAAACAATACCGAGCATTACTAATCTATACAGAGTAATTATTTTGTCACAAAAATTCAAATTTTAGCAGGTATACGACTTTAACTCGGTAAAACCTAACCCTAAACATTTAAAAAGAAGAAGATGAGGCATTGTTTATTAGAAAATGAACTAACCTGAGGCATTGTAAGTCTGAAGTATATGAAATGCAAATACGGAGAGCTTGGAACTTGGAACAAGATGAAGTATCGCCGGTGTATGAAACGTAAATACGGAGAGCTTGGAACTTGGAAGAAGATGAAGTATCACCGGTGGAAGAAGATGAAGTATATGCAAGCAAATGATGACTGAAGTGAAAGACGGTGATCTTTATTTCAAAATTATACATATTCTTCGGGTCCGTGAGGTATTTTTTGGGTCCGTTGGTCGGGCCGTCAAATTTAAATTTCGCACGTGCCATATACCCAATCTTCGCCGGGTCGGGTCGGCGTAAATGAGGCTACCTGGTGTCACATTTTTAAGCAGTACCGAATGTAGAGTTGCGTCAGGTAACCTGAGGCAATAAAAATTCCACGTGAAGGGTAAATGGCTATATTTATCTTGCAGCTTTCACCTACAGAATTTGTGTTGAAAAACGGAGCTTCTTGGACGGCAATACTTGCAGCTAATTGGAGGGATTCTGACCAAGTGGGTGCTGGATATAGGATTTCACTTGAAAAGATTAAGAAAGATAAGGCTTTAAAACCAGATTCTGCTACCTTTCTCTTGGAATCAAATGAGAGTGGAGAGTGGTCTCCCTGCTCTGTGAAGCTGTGAGCCTGAGAGGAGGAAGGAGGGATCGGGTAGACCAACTTCTCGGCTGTATGAGCTGGAGTGGATTCGGGACTTGAGTGGCTTTAAGGTGGACAGAGTGGACGTTGGATTCTTGGCAGAGCAAGAGGTGCTGTTTTCTAGTAAGGTAGTGCAGATGTGTTTGATACATTTTTGATGGAGATGAGCACTTCTTGGAGGGCCGCCTTCCTCTAGGGTTTCCTCTACAGTGCTTGCATGTTGGAGATCGGCTTCCTTTCAGAGAGATTGTGTGTTGGGAACGCCTTTGCTTCATTTCTCCAAGTTCTTTTGGAGAGGGGTGGAGTTCTTGCGAACCGTCGGCCTTAGAGTTCTTCTTTTCTGATCTTGCTTGTTGGAATCCATCTTCTCTGCCTTTGGTTGAGAGTGGATTTGGTTTTGTAAAGTTATACTGATCTGGTTTTTTGGTTGTTCTGGTTTAATTTTTATCTTTTGCTTCAGTATTTTTTTCTTTTTTGTTTTTTGCCTGGATGGATCATTTTCCCCCGTTGAAATCTTTAACTGCTTCGGATATCTCATCCGATAAAGTTTTGGATGTTCCTAATTGTTTGGTTGGAAAAAATCTTTCAAGTCAATCTTTGATAAAAGATTACTCGGTTTCTTTTGTTCCTCAAAAGGTTAATATAGCTATCTTCTCAGTTGAAGATGTTCTTAAAGTTTCTCCTAAGTGGGGTTTAACTTTAGTTGTATATTCGTTAGGTAAGAGGCCTTTCTTTGAAGCTTTGCAGAATGTTATGAATAAGACCTAAAAATTAAAGGGGTCCTTAACTCTTTTATCTTTAAATGATGGTTTCTTTTTAATGAAATTTAAATGTCAAGAAGATTATGATCTGGTTTGGATGGGTGGTCCTTGGTTCTTTTTTGATCGACCGTTTATTGTTCAAAAATGGTTGCCACTATTTAGACCAAAACATGAAGAGTTTTCTTCGATTCTGCTGTGGATTAAAATCATTTATCTCCCTCTAGTTTGTTGGACTGAAGAAGGGATATCTAAAATTGCTAGTTTAATTGGTATACCTATAGAGGTAGACATACTTACTGCAGAACAATTGCGTTTAACGTTTTCTCGTGTTTATGTTTTAGTTAATAAAGATTCTACGTTACCTGACGAGGTGAATATTTCGATTTCTGGATCTAGTTTTAGCCTTAAAGTGAGTTATGATTGGAAACCGACTTCTTGTTCGGGTTGTGGATCGATTGTTATCCTTCCTCTTTATGTCCCACTAATCCTATTGTGAATTCTGAGATCACTGAGAAATCAGATAAGGGAAATGATTTTATTAAGCAGAGAGGAAGGAGTAGGGTTTCTTGGAAAGTTTCCTCTAATAATAAGAGCAAGAATGATAGTTTGTCTGTTAAAGATAACAGTATGACTGTAAATCCTATTATTCCAGAGGGGAATAATAGGGAAGGGAAAAAATTTTCTAGTGTTGCTACTGTGTTAACAGTAGACGTGCTGGTTGTTTCTAATGATAGGATTGATGTTTCTAAGAGCATTATTCCTAATTTAAATTCTCCTTCAGATACTACACTTGTTGAATCTTTTCCATTAGAAGGAGATTTGGTTACTTCTGATTTGGTTATGTCCAATTTTCTTATTTCTTCTGACATTATTTCTAATTCTTCTGATATTAATAGCCAGAATAAGTTCAGTGTTTTGCAAGTTACAGATGAGAATGTTAACATATTGAATAATAAGGAGATTTCTCAATCTACTGCTTCTATTTTGGATAATGTGAATAAGGCTATGAATACTACTGTTTTGAATAATCAGAATACTAACAGGCAATCTGTTGCTACGGGCAAAATGACAAGGAATAAATTGGCCAGGAAGGCTACCTCTTCTTCTTCTAAACAATTATGACTATTCCTAATATTGTTTCTTGGAATATTAGAGGTTTTAATAGCCTTAAAAAAGTAAATGCTTGTAAGGATCTGGTTAAAGCATTTAATATTGATTTGATTTACATTTTAGAAGCAAAGGTTCATAAATATTGTTTATTAGATCCATGGTTTTGTGCCAAGCATATGGTTTTTGATACAGAGGCTAGTTGTAATAACTTTGATAAATCAGATCCTGGTAGAATATGGATTAAATGGAATACTTCTCATGTTTCTTTTACTCTTTTACATTCTACTAATTAGTTTATGCATGGCTGTTTAAAGTTGGGGTCATATTCATCTGTGCTTATCACTTCTATCTATGCTTATAATGATCATCTGGAAAGGCTCATACTTTAAAAAGATATTCTTTCTCTTTCTATGAATATTACTACGCCTTGGATTTTACTTGGGGATTTCAACTGTTGTAGATTTTCTAATGAAAAAACTAGTGGTAATGATCTTAATAATGGTAAGCTTTGGGATTTTAATAATCTCATTTTTAATATTGGAGTTCAAGATCTTGCTTCGGTTGGTTACTTTTATACTTGGTTTAATCAAAGGAGTGATACTCCGATTCATATTAAGCTTGATAGAATGTTAGTGAATAATCTTTTTTTGG